CAAGAACTTGGAAGTTCTACCGGTCGAAAACAATTGAGGAGTGGCCTAATATATCTACCGGTCAGAATATCTAACAATCATGAAGCAAGCAGATATGAAAGATTAACCGGTACAAAAAACAGACATGCACTCAGAGAAAATAGGAATGTTAAGTGTTTTACAGCTACACCGGGCATTCCCGGGGAAATGAAGGAAGTTTCCAGTTTACAAAACAACCGGTCCGAGCCGGGGAGTTTTACTCAAGAGGGAAAGGGGGAGTGGGCTCTTCCTCAGGAATGGGGGCCAAGCCGTAGGATGCAGCACTGAAGCCCGGGTCTCTTTTGAGTAGTACCCGGTGAGAGGCAATCCGGTCCTTTTTCTGACCACTCTTGAACCCAAAGGATCCGATGGCAGTGATCATTTTTCTCCCTTCAGGTTCCCAGTATAGGAACTTGAAGGATTCCATGGTTGCCTCCGGCGTCGCCGTCATCACCCGGGCAGCATCGGCTTTGTTCTCTTCAACCCAGGCGGCTGCGCGCCCGGGGAAGGTTTCTTCCTTCTCCGCCATTTCCCTCTTGGCCTCAGAAACTTCATCCATAAGCCGGCCGTTCTCCTCCTTCAGCTGGTAGATCTCCGCCTTCATTGTCCCGGCCATACTAGACAGACGGATCAGCTCATCTGCCTGATTCTTCAAAATCAGGTTCATCTCCTCTTTTTCCTTCCTTAGCCGGGCAATCTCCGAAGGATATCCCATCCCCAGCTGTTCAACTGCATGGGGCCCGATTTCCCCTTTCTGCACAAACAAAGGGCCCGGTTAAACCATTACAAAGGAAGAAAGTCTAATCCGACTGGGATAAGAAGAAGCCTTACCTCCTTCCGCCTCAGGCCCAGGTTGACAAAAGCCTCTTCAATGGTCTGGGAGGCCGGCTCAGGGTCTGACCTTGCCCTCTTCCTGGCATAGGAAGGGTGCGTGGTGGCCACCTTCTTCACCCGGCGACCGGCCTTCTCCTTCTCCTTCCCCTTAGACCGGTCTTCTTGGGGCTCCTCTTCGTCTAGGATTTCCACGGTCTCGGGATTGACCGGGAAGGTCCTGGCAGTGTTGGTTTGGGAGCCCCCGGTCTCCCCCGCTGTTTGGTCCTCGGGGATAGCGAACTCTTCAAACTCCATGTCTGCAAAACGAACCAAAAACGTTAAGTACAAATAGTATGCCCGGTCAAACTACGAAACACAAGAAAGATGAGAAATACCTGGGTGGTTCTGGCCCTCGGCCTCTGCAGTGTTGCCCGGGGAGGGTACCCCGCGCCCCGCTGCTTCATGGGCCGGGGAGGTACCCTCACCACCCGACTCGACCCTCCAGACCCAGCTGCCATAGTGGAAGACCCTCCCGGTGTAAGGATCCCCGCGCATGAGGACTTCAAGACTCGCCTCCAAGTCAGGGGAGGAAGCCGGTGCAGCGTACTCTTGGTC